CTGTTGACTGTCTTTGCATGCCCTTCCTCTTATAATAGTTAAAAGTCTTTGTCTCCTTTCAGCTCTTTTCCATTTCTGCTCACACTACACTAACCATACTCCCCTTGAAAGAACCCGTCGTTCTTCTTCCACAAAGGTAATGATGCAAGTTTCCTCGCATAGTCAGACAGCAAGTATCTACTCCCTCTTGCATTTATTTTGCACAATAAAAAGAAAAGAATTATTATCGCGGAGATATGTTGCCACAGATCAGCTTCTTCCTCTACATTTAAACCTCCTAACCTTTCCTTGCATCTAACTGGCTGCGAAAGCACTACTTCATTTTAATGAGCATACCACTCTAAGTGTACATTTTCAAAACAAAAAACATTCTAAAAGAGTGTATTGAGAGTGCTTTCTTCACTAAAATCAAACCACTTTGAACTGAAGGAGCACACTCCAAGCCACTTTCATGCCAAGGTAGCAAAGCCAGTTTTAATCCATGCATATAAGGGATGTGCAGGAGATTAGCCAGATGTTCAATTACTCCTCCTAAGAAACTCTGTGATGTACTAATATATCTCCCTGTGCCTATGATCGCATGAATACTGTTGGGTACATACCAAATAAAATAAACAATCATTCACTTGCATATTGGGAATCTGTAGATCCTTAAATTTATACTTATTTGGGCAATACTTGTATGTAAATATTATGGCATTAGCAGACTATCTTTTGAAAGCTGAAATTATTCCATATATAATAAAGCATTTGATTGTTCCCAACTACACATTTTCTTGAGAAAAAAATATGTAGATATAAAAACCAGAAGAAAGTTTGTGACACACTGTAGGATTCACCTGACTTAAACTTAGGACATCAACACTGTTCATGTTTATGTCTGAACTACTCATTCTGGCTTCCTCTATGGCACCTGAAGAGATCCACTTGCACTGAGAGCATGTGATTTACTTCCTCCTGGAGCAGAGGTCTAAAAGTGGCCTCGAAGTGCTTATTTCTTTCCACTGACTCTAAAGGAAAGCCAGGTCTGAAAAGCTCTTTTTCCATATCAGAAGGGGAATGTCTACATTTAAGATATCTAAAGGTAAGGGTGATGGGTCCTCCCTGCAGAGTTAAAGGTCAGGACATACATACTTGTGCTGATATTATAGTTGTGTTCCAAAACATCCATCTCCAATGCTAGTAATGAATACAAAGTCTAATTAAAAGAGAACACAAAAAAGACCTGAAACATGAGCTTTCACTTTTAATAGCTTTGTTTTTTTGGCTATGTGTTTATCTCTATATACACTTTCTAATTATTTGAATACACATATTGTTCTAAGGGCTGATCATCTCTTGGAATGTGCAAAATACAGAAAATAATGGATTTCATGATCTTACGAAGGTAAAGATGTTACTCAAAAGCTAAATTTTGTACACATATTGAATTCTTTGAAAAACAATGTATATATTCCTGCAAACTGGTTCCTTGAAACACAATATTGAAGTGTTTTCACTGGTAAGATAGAAATGAAATTTAAAGGAAATAATTTTATCTTATGATGTGAAAAAACTCAGGGTTTATATTTTCCAAAGTGTCCTCTAATTCTGCTGGTTCAGTTTTATGGCCACAAAGACTAGTATCTACCATAAAATGAATGGACAGATAAGAACTATTGCATGTATGTCAATATATTGTATCTTACTGGGTGTCCAGTTTCAAACAGTTATGCCTGCAGTATTTTTGTGGTTAAAGGTGTTTGTGGGTTCATAATTACACCTCTGAAATCAGAAGCTGGGTTGGATCTTGGCTGAAAACGTGTCACATGACATCTTAGGGCATTCTGATAAGATGATAAATTCTCTACCTGCTGCTTAAGTTATTCCCTTTATTATGTTCTTAATAATCATTGACCTTAAATTTAAAAAGAAGCAAAAATTGTGTTAAGACAGGCCACAGCTGCCTAAGTGCATTTTACTTACATGGTAGTTGATAATTAATGTATAATTATATGATAAAAATAACAGTAGTATACTAATTCCAAAGAAAACACCTGGAAACATAAAGTGGAAACCAGTGGAGGAACCAACTCCCTGTACTATGCAGAAGATACAAAAGGAGGCCTCCACCACCTGACTTGGGACACCTCTGCTTCTTCAGGGAAATGAAAGGGGAACTGCCCCTATAGAGCAGAAATCCATGTGCTTTTATGTTGGAATTCAGGTGGGACAGCAGTAAGAGCTGACAGGAAAAGGAAGCTTCCTACTGCTCAGGATCTGCTCCTTGAGAGATTGTCTAGTCATGCTCGCTCTGGAAAGACACGGGCAGAATGATCTTGAATGGCCTGCTGCAGGTTTTGTTGCTCAATAGTGGCTGACAAAGCTTTGTCTTTTGAAAGGTCTTGAAATCTTCTAAAATTATATTGTACTGGACATCAATAAACTTTTGTAAAAAATCCTTTGCCCTCCCTTTATTTTGTTTATGCCAGCAATAAAAGTTAATCCACTGCTCAGTTCTAGCCGATAGAATTTTGGGGCTTTACCTCAACCCTTGCTTCTTACACACTGCATACATAAAAATGCAATCACATCTTTTGTCTGCCTGGATTTGCTTATCTGGATCTGCTTGAGACTCTGATTTTCTTCTATGTACAATTTTTTTCGTGTTACTATCTTCAATTCATTGCAGCACATCCTTATCAAAAGATGAAGTAATGCTATATAATCAAGTAGTGTTGAGAACCAGAAAGGCAGACACAAAAGCCAAAAGAGTTCCTTTCATTTCTGATCTGCCCTAATATCTGTTTTTTTCCTAATATATGGAATTATGCTGGGTTCGGTGAGGTTTAATCACATAACTGTTTACAGTTTTCTGGACCAAAATACAGCTTTCTAAACCTAATATGTTTACCAAGTTAGAAGAGACTAAATATTTACTACCATATTTTATTATATTTTACTACATTTTCTACTACATACGTAGTAGTCTCTTCTGAGCTTAAAAATTATATACAGAATGGTGATTCAGGTTTGGTACCTATATCCCATCTTAGAGGTAAGCTTAAAATGTGATTAAAATACAGTTAAAAAATTAACTCTAAATGAGCAATACATTATACTCTTAGATTTTCAGGCACATTTTCCAAAGTGGCCTCAGGAATTGGATTTCTGCGTAAGATGAAGTAATTGTAGTCCCAATTTTTACAATTTAATTAAGGTCTCATTTTTTTCATGTTTCCTAAATGGCCTTTATCACCAATGGAAAGAAAGAGACATCACCAGAGAGTAATTTAGACCTCAAGTGGAGTGGGCAGTATGGTGGCAGGTATGACTATATTCTCAAGGAATTATGAACCTTCCCTAGATACCTCACTTATATGTCTAATCTTAACTGGGCTGGATTTGAGTGTCTATATCTGACAAAAAGTATCTGAAAGATGGCGTTGTAGATAGGTAGAAGAGGATACGGGAAGTTCACCTTAGCTATCCTGTTTCTGGAGTTGCACTGAATTGGAGAACTCCTGTGTACTACTTAAGATCTATTAACTAATACACCTGAGCTGAGGGCGATAACTTCCTTAACAATGCAAACTTGCTTTGAAAGAGTCTGGCTGGCTGAGCGCCGAGTAGGCAAGCACTTACACTCTCTTTTAGAAATAATTTTGAAAATTTGTCCCAAGATTATACTTATTCACTTTAAGAACAAAAAAAAGTGAATACTGTTTGATTATTTGCAGAGCCCCACACTTCAATTTTTTCCAAATTTAATTAACATTTTTATTGATTTTTCAATTTTTTTTTTCAGTTAAATTATGTCTTGTAAAAACTTACGATAGTACACACACAATATAAAAAGCATGGAAGATATTTCAGTTTCAAAGTTGTAAAGCTATCTCTTGAAGAGAAACAAAGTTCTGATCTTCTGCCCAAACCCTCCAGTCAATCCACACATAAAACTTCAACTCCATTTTAAAAGCAATATCCCTAAGTGTCCCCTTTTCATGAAGTGTCAGCTACAGTTCCATGTCTAACAATTAAAAATCAGGTAACGTCTCTGTTTCCCTACACAGATGGATGGGTCCAAACATTGGACAGTAATAGCTAATGGCTTCAAGTTTGCACACACACTAGAATTTTTTTCTATCTGTAACTTCTTTCAGAGAATAAGAACCATATTTTTCTCATTTATCTTTTTCTTTCCCACCAAATGCTATGTTTCATAACATTTGGAATGCTGGTGAAATGTATTTCCAATTCTTAAGGAGCCTCAAGCATAAATAAACTCCACCTCACTGGTGATTTTGCATAAGTAAAAGCATAATAGGAATGGCAGTATTTGACACTTGGGTCTTAAGAAACAATGAGAATAGTTTTCACTTTGATAATGCTTAAATCCCACAGACAGTGGCTTTTAAAGGCTTTTCAGTTCACTTTTGCAATCTGACTAGAATCTTCGATACGTGAAGTCCCTCTGTACCTGTTGCACACATCAGTTATACCGATGCCTGCACATGCAAGCAAAACTAAATCAGCAAATGGTGAAATACCTACTGGATCTAAGAATCCAAGTTCTACACTAGTAAAAGCAGAATCAGACCTATCAATCTGAGGCAGATATAACTGCCAGCAATAAAATGGTAAATATTTTCAACTGCATGTCCTTGCAGGTAGGGTCAATGATTATCACTTGTACCTTGCAGGAATAGCTTTTCTTCTCATAGCAAAACAGTACTTTCCGGTGGACTTTACCTGGTAGGTCACAAAATTCTTTGCAGCCATGTGGAATGTTAAATCTCCAGAACCATACAGTTTCATACAGACTGGCTCTGAAACTTTAATCTTGTTTTCTATGTATAAACACTTCTAATAAGAGAAATATGAACAGCAGTGTATGATCCCAAACAATAATTTATGCTGAATTAAAACATTGGCTTCACCCCTTAGACACAAGACACAATTTATTGTCCTATCATATAATTAGAACAACAGAGCATGCAATATCTTTGTGCACCACTGACCTCTAAAGAGCTCATTGATATTGTGGATCCAGTTTCACTTCTCGATAATCCTGTATTGTCATCCAGCTCTGAGGCAATGAAATTCTTCACTGCTGTGCGGGGCTCAAATGGTAAATTCTGCATATGTTCTTGGGTGGGAAGATGCTGGTCTAAATTGATATTAAATTGGTCCATTACAGAGGGATTCATGTTGAACTCTGGATTAACTTTGTAGTGCAACAGCCTTTCATGAGGCAATGTATCCATGCCTATATTCATTTTGCTCTCATCTTTCAGTGATGGCTGGGTATTTACTGAGCTCCGGGGCATGACTATATAGTCGCTTTCTATCATCCGTTCTTGAGGATGGACGATGTCCATATCTGCACCTCTCAAATTATCATCGGTGCATAAATACACAGTCCTCCGCAACTCACTGTTGTCTTTTTTCAAGCACTGATTGGCCAATTCACTCATACTCATCGGCATGTGGAGACCGGATGGTTGCTGGATGATGACTTTGGAGATGATGTTTCCAGGTAAGGTAGAATAGCTCATTCCTTCAGGGTTTGGTCCCTTCTCCTCCTCTTCATCGTTTAGTGAAATTCTGGAAAGTGTGCCTGTTATAGTAGCTGCTCTGCAAGGTCCAATGTCTTTATGCAGAACTGTGGGTCAGAGAACAAAATACTTACAAAATGAAACCATGCCTACCTAACACTATTTTTTCTTATGGATTTATTTAGCAATGCACCCTTTACCAGTGCATCTTCTTAACTCTTTTGCTATCCATTTGATAACTTTTGTTCTACAAATATTGTTTTGGGAAGGGTTTTTTTTTATTTTTAAAACATCAACCTCTCTTAATCTACCATGTATAACGGACACATATCTCTGACTAAACCTCGGCGATTTATATAAATAAAAATAATTTATTCCTACTGCCTTACATAGATCCTAGGTGACCTACAGCTTATGCAAAAGTCTGCCATGTGGAAGTAGAATAAGGATTTCCCCCCAAAATACACTATGACACCTGTACTGCCATTATTAACTCCACATAACCTCCTGGAAAATGTTAAACAGATTATAAGGCAGAATCATTTTGTCAATCCATTGTAATGACCTACCATAAGATTACAATGATAGACATGTGTTTCTGAGGTCCTAATTATTCCTTTTCATTGACTTTTTTAGACCCTTCTGTGTTAAATTATTTTGTAAATAAAAGTGACAAAAAAGTATCCACATTGGGAAGAAATTCCATTAGTATCAGAAAGACATATTTTGCTGCATTTCAAAAGGTTATAAAAGATATAAATGTGTCTCATAAAACAGTCATAATACACTTCTGGTGTAGGCCTAGGTCTTCCTGGTCAAACTTGTAGCACATTGAGCAATCTTTTGTTGGGGTAAAATCCACATGTAAAAGTTATTGATCCTGTCATAGAATACAAAGTTTTCAGGAGCACTGAAGGATGCATTCAAAAGCAAAGCAACTCTTCAATCACAATTTTTGATTTTAAAAAATAAATATGTTCATAATTCAACATTTGTAATGAAAGAAAAAGGATAGATAGTAAGATTAAAAAAATTAAAGTAAACAATTACTGGGCTTACTCCATCTGGGTGCAGGGATTTTCTTGTCCCAGTTGAAAATATTTTAATTCACACCAATGATAGTTTGTGCAATGAAATCCAGCTCATGCGCTGGGATAGTATGACAGCTTGAAGTATCTCAGGTGTTACTTGTACATGCCTTTTGGTAGCCTGAGGGCTCTGATGACCCAGATCCCCTGGTACCTGTCAGTGCACTGCCATGTTCATAGCAAGCAGCTCATAAGGCATGCCACTCCCATCTCGCACAAAACTGCCTCTCACTTTTCCATTAGGAAAAGAACAATTTGCCTGTAAACAACAGTGTACAAATACTCGACTTCAGTGTTGCTGCTTCATTGCTCCCAGTCACACTTGTTAAGTAAGACACTTCAACCAGTGACCCATTCTTAAACCTTTAATTAAAAAACCCTGGGTTTAAATGTTGTCTAGTAAAGCCTGTTTGTAACTGTATTCAAAGTCTGTCTCCTTAAGGATGCCCCTGACAAGGTTCTCTGTCCTGCAGTTATGTTGGCAAAGGTAAGAAGTAGGAGTTACATGGACCAGTGCTGGACTTTTGTACGCATTGGATGGTGACAGACGTGTTACAGTGTACTACCCTGCTCCCTTCAAAATACACGTGCATATTAAAACTAATCTCTATGGAAGAACCATTACCATACAGACATAAGGAAGAAATTTTTCACAATGAGGGTGTTGAAACCCTGGCCCAGGTTGCCCAGAGAGGTGGTAGATGCCCCATCTCTGGAAACATTCAAGGTCAGGTTGGACGGGGCTCTGAGCAACCTGATCTAGTTGAAGATGTCCCTGCTCACTGCAGGGGGGTTGGACTAGATGGCCTTTAAAGGTCCCTTCTAACCCAAAGATTCTATGATTCTATATTGCAAGAAACCAAACTGGCAGTTTTTTAAAGGTGAGTGACTGGAAACTCAAACTTTACCTTAATGAGATCAGCCTTCTTGGCTTTTCCTGATACCATGTTGCTTAAGCTACTGTTGATTTCACTTAGAGCCCTAAAAAACTTACCCCCTTTAAAACTAAATTAATTGATGCATCCTTCATATACATAGCTTTTAAGATACACTATGTATTTTTTTTTCCTATAGCAACATGACTGTTTCATAGTTGCTTGTGTACTAGGGCAAGGAAAATTTTGTGTGTAAGTTATTTTCTTTCCAAAACCATTTGCCTTCTAACAGGCATTCATACGCTTGACTGCTTTCCAACTGCTGAATTCTAATAAAAGGCTTTTGTAAGAAAATGAAATAAATCTATTTGTACAGTGGCATCACTTTTTTGTTTACATTTATAAATATATGTTGTAAACAATTAAATCCTGATATTTTTCTGGTTTTCACTTCACAAGGAACTAGTATAAGACTCCATTTGTTGGTTAAGTACTCTCTCAATGTTCTTACCTGACCGACAAGCAATGTCCACGTCCTTTTCAAAATCAGTCTGTAACAAGAAACAGTGAAACGGGACAACAATTATTAATTGAAAACTAAACCACAGTACCTTTTTGCCAACTAGCGCTTCCAAAATGTCCTACTTACAGAGTCATAGTCTCTTAAAAGTGGTTTCTTGTTGCTGAGAAGGTGAAGTGTATTGTTTTACAACAGCAGAGCTTTACAAAGTTTCCTAAAGTATAACTGGGTGGTTTTCAAAGTATGCTGCCTGACCAGAAAAAATAAAATAAAATAGGTGGAAGTAGAGTATATAATTTTAATATAACGATACAGTGTATAGTTTTTTAATGTATATGGAAGAGTAACTTCTACAAATCATGGAAGGATCATCTTTAAGGAAGCTTTTCATAGGAATTTTACAAACAGAAATATGGAACATAGCCTGCAACGCAAATTACTGTGAACAAGTGTAAGTCCACCCTGTCTGAAACTTCATTAACTTGTTATGAAGTGGTTATTTGTTATAGAATATTATGTCCATCCTTGCTAGTAATGTAATCATGTAAATTTTGTACTCCCTGAAAACAACTGTTGTTTATTTAATTGGGCAAAAACTAATTGTAAGAACAAAGAATGATTTTTAACAGTTGGAAATCCAAGCACACTTTTCCCAGTTAAACAAAACTATTTATCTTGCTATAGAACTCAAGTAATTTTAAATTATGTTTTTATTTCCACCAAAAGTTTATTACATGAAAAACATTTAATAAAACTGACCTCCTTCTTGCTTGTGAAGACCAAACATTGGATTCTCTTTTGATTCATCATTTTTTGAAGGGCATCTATTTGCTGAGCCTTGCATGTTTTTTAGGGCCTGATCCTGTCCCCATTATAATCAATGACAAACTGTCATTATAAGTGAAGGGACCAATATTTTGTCTTAATATACTACCTACCAATATTAGTAAATCCAAAATGGCATAGTAAGCCATTCACTATCACCTTAATCCAAGCCACTAAATAGATTCCCCTTCTAGAATTTCTAGCACTTTCTCTTTGTCTGAAGTAGTTTGAGAGGAACATTTTTCAAGGCCTCATGAAGGAAAGACTCTCAAATGTATCAGTGCTCTTTACAGCAACAGTAGGAAAAGTAATGATATATTATTAGATTACTTTCTCATTTTCTTATGTAAGAATCTTTTGTCATAAATAACACTGGTGGAAGATACTAATTCACTGTGCTCCACTAAATGATTACACCAATAATTTAAAACTTGCTAAGAGATTTAAGCAAGCAGATAATGACCTAAACAGATTTAGCTTAAAAATGGTGTTAATATTCCAGCTGTGCATACTGGTTGTGTACAGTATTATAATTTTTTTCTATTGGATAGGAACACTAAATTAAGAGTCAAAGAAAAAAATAAAAGCTAACCATGATTTGAGCATGTCCGTTAGGAAAAGAACTGGAAGAATCTGCATTGATTGGATCCTGGCAATTTCTCAGTCGACATCTGAATGCATCTTGAACCTGTGAAAACAATATCTTATACTGATTCTTGTGCAACATCATGTATTTTACTCCTATTAAAGATTAAATTAAACTGTATGGAATACAATGCATGACTTTTCTGTAGCGTACTTAATAAACAACATAAATGCTTATTTCTGCCATTTAGTACATTTGCTATGTTTTGTGGCTGCTGCAAAGTCTGTCAGTCTATCACACCAAGACCACCGACTTAGATTGTCCGACGGACCGAAATAACTAGTAGTCAGTGATGATCTGATTTGGACTTAAGCCAAACCTGTTTTGGGTGATAGTATTTGGGTTTGTCTTCTCATTCAGTTTGGTACTGGTTTGATAGCAGGATTAATAGATATACTATTAACCATTGCAAATTAAATTGTATCTTCTGCTTGATAAATGTAAGATACATGACAGTTCTTAACAGTTACTATGATCATCTACATAGTGCTCTGCTAATTATACTTTAAGGAATAAGACAATTTGAAAGATGTTACTAATTCCAAACATAAGCTCTAACTCCATGTATAGGGAATCTCATGCATCTCTTCTAGGAGTAAAACTCTTCAGACCACGTACATATCTTCATATTTATCTTTCTACATATCAGAAAAGTGGACTGTTTGCACTCTGGTTTCTTGAAACTAAAAAAAAGGAACTTCTCAGAAATTATTGTTTATTAATTGATCCATAAAGTATATTTGAAGACTTGTCCCTAAAACATAAGTATATTTGAAGAATTGTCTTTTCATAGGAAAGGCTAATTTTACTTTGATTTTGTGCAGAATGTATGTCTAAAGAAATATTATTATGCAATACTTTTGTCAGAAAGATGGGGTTCAACAGAGAGGCACATTCAAAAGAAAAATACAGTTCCTGTTTGCTGACAGTAGAATGCAAACACCTTTTGCTGTTTTCTCACACGTACCACAGTGAGGACAGCAAGGAAAATTTTGGAATGAAAAGTTTTAGAATGTGAATTTTTGTTCCAGAAATGCAAACATCCATATTAGCAACCTGATTGCGAGATGTGACTTGGAAAACAGGAAGTTAGTTGGGTGACCTCCAATCAAAACAAACTAGTATCATTTCTTGTTTGAATATGAAAATACTCTCCATGGAATGCCCACAAAAATCTACATTCCATTTATTATCTCTAGAAATTACTTGCTATTATATTCCGAATAATTAAAAGGGAGAAAATTGTATTCTACTCATGGACATTTTGCAAGCAACAGAAGAGGATAATTCATTAATTGTTGCTGATGAAAAGCCATCCCCTTTCAAAACATCGTATTCTACTGCAGGCTGTTTAAGAGCTTTCACGAAAGAGAAAATGAAATAGAAAAAAAAAATTATTTTTGTAATTAGGAAGCATTATTTTAAAGTGCTCAACCCTTAAATGAGTAAGAGTGCTCTGCAGTCTCGATAAGTGACTGTTGCAGGTGGAGGAAGATTCATATAGAGCAGAAAGAAGAATGAAGCAAGGTTGGAAGGTTTGGATTGATTTCAAAACACTGAGACTTCCTACATGTGGTAGGGTAACGTAGAGTGTGCTTGACCTGCATTGTGACTTAGGTTCTGAGTTTAAGCACTAGACTTGCTGTGGTTTCCCATGTGTTTGACATTAATTTGGCATCTCCCAGTCATTGCAAATTTAATCCAAGCCTTCTCTTACTTTATCAATGCTAAACTCAAGTCACACTTAGGAGTTTTATGCTCTTGGTAAGCAATGGCACAGTGATTTGGCAATAAAAACAAAAAAATTCCTCCCACCAAAGCGTCCCCAGCTGTGCTGAATCTCATCTCAAGTCTCATGGTGTTTGACCCCAAAGCATTATTACTTCAGACATACTGTGTGATCTCTCTCTCTCTGCAGTGGCCCTCCTTATTTTTGGGACTCTGTGTTCATGAGGCTTCCCCAGTTCAGATAGCTCCAGAGATCTCGAG